AGACGAAGAAGGCGGAGAAGGGGGGGAAGGCTACCTCCTCGCTCGCTCGCTGGCTTCCGCTTCCCTCGCTCCCTCCTTGCTCCCTCCTCGTGCCCTCCTCGTTCCCTCCTCGCTCGCTCCCTCTCACTCCCTCCTCGATCCCTCCTCGCTCGCTCTCTCCTCGCTACCTCCTCGCTCCCTCCTCGCTCCCTCCTCGTTGCTCGCTCCCTCCTCGCTAGCTTTCCCGCTCCCTCCTCGCTCCCTCCTCGGTCACTTTCCCGCTCCCTCGTCGGTCCCTCCTCGCTCGCTTTCCCCCTCGCCCGCTCGCTTTCCCGCTCGCTCGCTTTCCCGCTTGCTCACTTTCCCGACACCGGCCTTGTAACGAGCGTGAGGCAAGGCACAAAGTCGAAGTCTAGGATTCTGAATGACGAAATAGTAAGTCACACTTAATACGAGTACAGCAGCAGAAAACTGGTATGAGACTTGTCCCCGTACCATACGGGGAACCGGTCTAAGTACCGGTGACACGTACGGTACCAAGGGCATGTCATAAGAGGCCCCGAGGGCAGAACTGAAAAATGTGGTATTTGAAAGTGGCGCCCGAATTGCAGCATGGCGCCAGTTGTCCAAAATCCTACGGTACCAAAGGAGGGGTTTGGAAAAGGGGTGCCAGACCGAAAACTAGATGCAACCGAAACAGCAAAAAGATAGACCAGGGATCGAGCCCTGGTGGAATCCATAACAGGCCAACTTTGTCGGTCGGTCCGTCACCCAATTTGCGGGTCCGCCCGCCGGCTGGTCGGTCGGGCCTCGCCACTTCAACCGCCCTACCAGGGCGCTACAAGGCGGAACGAGGGGGAAACACAGGGGGAACATGGGGGGAACGCGGGGGGGAAGGAAGGGGGGAAGAAAGAGGGGAAGACCCAAGAGCCTAGCTCAGTGGGTACACCACCCGTGTTTGAACCCAGATGCTGGAATTTCATGAGGAAAACCAAATATTATTTTTTCTTTTTTTTCTGAACCACCAGTACTTGGCCCAGCTATCGCAGCCGACACTGGAAGTGCCCTTCGCGCCGTTTCCCGCCAAAGTGCCAATTCGATTTTTATTTTCGGAAAGGCTGGCGGCGCTAGCCTTCCAGATCCGGTTGCCCGAAGCGCGAACTTCGCGTAACCCGGGGGCCCCGTCACCTCAATGATGTTATCTCAAGACCGTCGCCCTTTTTGAAAATAGAGAAAAAAAAAAAAACAAAAAGAAGAGGGGGACGAAGGCGGGGACGCAGACTGGCTGGAATTCGGGACGGGAGGGAGGGAGAAGGTGTGGGGAATGTGGGAATGAGGGGAAGATGGTAGGAAGAAGAAGATGGCAAGTAGGAAAAGGAGAGGGGAAGCGGAGGAGTACGATGGTAAGGAGCTGGACTAGTAGGAGAAGGAGAGGGGATTCCGAAGAGGAGTAAGAAGATGACAGTGGAAGGTTGTGTGTGTCTGTGTGAGGAGGAGGAAGGAAGAGTAAGATGGTAAGGAGCTGGACTAGCAGGAGAAGGAGAGGGGAAGAGGAGTAAGATGATGACAGTGCAAGGTTGTGTGTGTCTGTGTGAGGAGGAGGAAGGAAGAACATGGCAAGGAGGAAGAGGAGGCTTGGAGGAGCCGGAGGAAGATGGTAAGGCTTTGTGTGTTCGTGTGAGGAGGAGGAAGAACAAAGCTGGAGGTTAAGGATGCGGGCACCTCCTAGGAAATGACCAAATATAACATATGAGGCAGGTTATTAACACAGTCCTCAATCCTTACATCCAGGCAAGGAAGAGGACGAATCCAGAAAACAGTCTTCTTTAGATCGTCCTCCTCCTCAGCCAAAATTACACACGACTGTCAATTGCGTCAGCCCGTCTGGCTCCGAAAGCATAAGTTCGGAGTTGTCCCTCCTGCGGCGGAGCACCGACGCCCTGGGGGTCTCTTCATCGCAATTTCTTTCGCTCGGGCAGTCAAACCCTTTGCAGACGGCTTAGACATTAAAAAAAAAAAAATGCGGACAGAGCCCTATAATCTTAAGTTCACGCAAGAACGACAGTAAAAAGGTATAAAAACTCCTTTAAGGGTCGGAAAAGAACATATCTTGTTCGAGATTGGATTTTTGTGGGTTCTTTTCCGACCCTTAAAGGAGTGTTTCTACCATTTTGGTGTTGTTCTTGTCTGAACTTAGAGGGTTGTGTCTGTAACCTCGGCTTAGGAGGAGGACGGTGTAAAGAAGATGGATGAACAGGCCTACAACGTCCTTTACAAAAGACATAAACGAGACAATTCAGGCAGGTTGCACCTACAATCCTAAATCCCTTTATCAAGGTAAGGAACAAGAAGAAATAAGAAAGACAAGTCCTTGACAAAAATTCCACGTCGTACATTTTGAGTTCCTTCTCAGACCTTTCGAGGACTGTTTTCTTCATTTCGTTGTCTTTTTTGTCTGTATCTGAACTGTAGCACTATATCTAGAACCTTGGCGAACACTGCATGTTCTTCTCCGACCTTTCCAAGACTAGTTTTGTTTCCTTTTCGCTTTCATTGCTGTCTGAATCGGAACTACAGGGCTAGATCTCTAACCGTGGTTGTGAAGGAAGAACACGGAAAGAAGACAGTCCTTCACAACAATCGTAAGAGATATAGCCCTATAGTTCCGAATCAGACAACATTGAAAGTGAAATGGAAAAAACTAGTCCTTTAAAGGTCGGAGAAGAACATGTAGTGTTCGCCAAGGTTCTAGATAAAGTGTTACAGCTCCGATTCACACAACAAAGACAGCGAAATAAAAAAACAGTCCTCTAAATGTCAAAGAACAATCTAAATAAATGACAGAACTACAAGAAATCTGACAACTTCTTAATAAATCATTAGATCCGAAACACCCACGCAAGGTAGAGGACGAAACGAGAAAAACAATCCTTCAAGCATTTGTGTCGAAAAACAATCCTTCAAGCGTTTGTGTCAAATTCCTCCTCCAATAGTACATGTTCTTCTCTAACCTTTCAAGGTCTATTTGTTTTTCATTTCGCAGTCACTGTTGCCTGAATCGGAAGTATAAGGCTATATCTTTAACCTCGGTTGTGGACGCAAAGTCATTTCGCAGTCAGTGTTGCTTGAATCAGTAGTATAGGGCTATATCTTTAGCCTCGGTTGTGGACGCAAAGTTTCGTTGTACATTACTTTGACGAACGAATAATCAGATTGTCTCTAACAAAAACTGTTCTATTTCGCTCATCGAAGGACTGTACCTTACAGCGGAATTATCAAATACAGTTCTTCTTTCTCTCTCTCTCTCTCTCTCTCTCTCTCTCTCTCTCTCTCTCTCTCTCTCTCTCTCTCTCTCTCTCTCTCTCTC